GGGTGAGGTTTCCTTGCTTGCCGGTAGAGTATTACGATTATAACTTTCTCGTGAAGGTCGGGGAGAAGGTTGCGCTCCCCATAATGATCAATACAGCCACTAACTTGGTCTCAAGGGAAAATTTTGTTAGGGATTGCATAGAGGTAGATATTACTAAACCCCTCCTATCCAAATTTATGCTTCGTGGGAAGATTAGGGGAGTTGTTTATGAAGGCTTCCACTTATAGGCCAAGCCATGCCATAAGTCCTACTGGGAAGTAAGCATAGTGCAACGCTAAAATATATCAATTGGTATTAGAGTTGAGGTCACAGGTACGAATCGATCCAAATGGGTTGGGCATAGGTCGAGCCATGTCTAGTCCCGAGGCAGGGTGGGGGGTGCTGGATTGTTGGGGGTCCATCGGGTTGACCCCGAGTTCAGCCTATTAATTGGTTACTACCTTTTAGGTCACTAATAACAATAAAATAATTAATTGCAACGATTTTAGTTGTCACTAGAACAATATTTTGTAATAACATATTTGGTCACAAATTATACATTTATTGTGACAACTATCGTTATCACTCAAATACTACTTGTAGTGAAAGTAAATATTGTCACAAAGTAGTGAGTAATTGTGACAACTTTTCAAAAGTCGTCACTACTACAATAGTGACGGAGGATATACTGACGACAGGTGACGACTTCAAAAAATGGTCACTAATTTCAATAGTGACCAAAATTGATAGTTTCAGTGACAACTTCTATTGTCACTAAATGTGAAATTTCTTGTACTGTGGATGTCCGAAGATCTTCCTCGCGAAGGAAGAAAATGTGAGGTTCAGAATCAAATGGAGACATACGCTGATAGTCAAGGTGTTAAGTGGAAGTGTCAGATGTACTTACCTCCTCAAGCGATCGACTCACGGCTATATGGCACCCGGAGGCTAGGATGGAGTTGGTCACTATCGAGACCAAATACTATCTCATCAAGATTATGAGTATGCTAAGTTTGGAGGGCCCTCTGAATAGTATTTGATCATTACCCATTTATGAACACCACATAAAGTGTGCCCGTGTGGATGGGGTTTCCTTGCTTGCCAGTAGAGTATTACGATTATAACTTTCTCGTGAAGGTTAGGGAGAAGGTTGCGCACCCATAATGATCGATAAAGCCACTAACTTGGTCTCAAGGGAAAAGTTTGCTAGAGATTGCATGGAGGTGGATATTACTAAACCCCTCCTATCCAAATTTATGCTTCGCGGAAAGATTAGGGGAGTTGTTTACGAAGGCTTCCACGGCAAATTATGCTGTGCATCCGTATGCACCATGCATGGTGCATACGGATGCAAAAACGACGTCGTTTTAATAAAACGCGCGTCTCCCCTTAAAAAAAAAAATCAGGTTCGATTCCCAGCAACAACATATGAACTAAAATTCCATAATCGATGAACTATAATTCCATAATCGATGGACTATAATTCCATAATCTAATCTATGAACTAAAAATTCCAGAATGAATGAACTAAAATTCCATAATCTATAAACTAAAATTTCAGAATCGATGAACTACAATTCCATAATTGATGAACTATAATTCCATAATCAATGAACTATAATTTCATAATCTATGAACTAAAATTCCAGAATGAATGAACAATATAATGTTGTTGCTGGGAATCGAACCTGAATTTTTTTTAAAGGGGAAACGCGCGTTTTTTAATAAAACGACGTCGTTTTGGCATCCATATGCACCATGCATGGTGCATACGGATGCACAGCATAACTTCCACTTATAGGCCAAGCCATGCCATAGGTCCTATGAAGGGCCTAGCCTATTCACAAACACACTTGCTATTTTGGGAGCTCAACAGCAGACCGATGACTAGAAAGTGTTTAGCACTTGCCCTCCTGGAATAGAAGAGATTGTTTACAATGATGTTGTGCGGGTCACAAGTGCTCGTAACATGAGGGAAAATAACTAGTTATTTTTTTCTTCAAGATCCCCTATCTCCCTTCCCGTTTGATCAAAAAAAAAAAAAAAAAAAAAAGTACTTCATATAATTGAATATTTTACATTTCACAATTTTAATCAAATCTCTAATCAAGGCAAAGAGTAATAGAGTTTCGATGTGATGTGAGGGAGTGAGAGTTGCTAATTCATAATTGATAATTGAACTGATTGAAAATTCTAAATTTAATTATTTTTAATCGGTTCTGTTGATTATGACATCTTGATCATAAGAATTCAATAATTATTTTAGAGTTAATACCCAAAATCGTCATCGACTATAGTGGTTTTTCTCAATTTCGTCCTAAACGACTTTGGTGACTTAATATCGTCCCAGACTTTTGTGTTTCGCTCAATTTAGTCCCAGACTTTTGTGTTTTTGCTCAATTTAGTCCCTCATTTGTTATTTTGTCCATTTGGTGTTAAATAAATAGACAATTCAGTAATTTTAATATTGGCATCTCTTTACTCATAGACATGTGAACTGCGAAATCCCTTTTTTTTTTTTACGAATTACTCCTAAAACTGCGAATATAAAATTTGATTTGCAGGTCCGGGAGTAATTCTGGGTGTAATTCGTACAAGAAAGAAGAATTCCGCACTTCACAAGTTGAAAGTAAAGAGAGATCAATATTGACATTACTAAATTGTCCCTTTATTTAACACTAATTTGACGGAATAACAAATGGAGGACTAAATTGAGCGAAACACAAAAGTCTGGGACGATATTAGGTCACCAAAGTCGTTTAAGACGAAATTGAGAAAAACCACTATAGTCGAGGATGATTTTGGATATTAACTCAATTATTTTAGCATAGTGATATGTAACAATCAATTTTTAATGAATCAGTTATGAAATTTAAAAAAATTTAATTATTTTAATTTTCATCAATTTGTTAAAAATAATTTATTATTAATCAAAAGCCAATTGAAATTGACCACCTTAATTGTAGCTAAATTATAGGTGATTTATTATACTCGCTTTTGTGTTGGAACAACAAATTTAAAATAATATAGCAGTAAGAAATTACTGAAGTTGTTCCTTTAAATATATTTATTTATAGGGGAGCAAAAAATATGGCCAATTTATATCCTACACCACGGCGCGCGTTGCATTGTGCGTCCATATGCAAAACGACGTCGTTTCAATATTTTTTTTTTTTTGAAATTTCCAACCCCAATGTTTGGCAATTAATTTTTCTTTAAAAAAAAATTCATATTCAAAAATGTACATAATGTTATACTAGAATACACATAATTGTATACATGAATGTACATAATTATATAACAAAATATACATACTCTTTTTTAAAAGATAATACCCATAATCTAACATAATACATAATAAACATAAACTTTTAACATAATACACATCAACTCTTAACATAATACACAAAAATTTCCTGATTCGGATGTACATAATTATATAAAAAGAATGTATATAATTGTATAAAAAATGTACATAATTGTATGAACAAATATACATAATTACAGCAACTTTCTACCGCGCTTTCTAAAACGACGTCGTTTTGGGAGGCGCGCGGCGCACAATACTACGCGCGCCGTGGTGTAAGGTATAACGATTGAAAAATATGTGCATATTGTTGAATTCAAGTCATGTGGGCAATAAAAGAATACTATTGGGCCCAATAGTATTCTTTTACTTATTATTTTTTTTTTTGAGAAGAAAATTAAAGAATACTTAAGATAAGTTTTAAGGAAAGTGGGCTAAATAGTTATTAGCTGATAGTTGATAGCTGTTTAGATTAGTAAGTTTGATTAGTTAATATTATCAGTTAATTGTAAAAAAATATTTGATAAATTAGTTATTAATTGATATTGATTATTTTTAAATAATTGATTCAAAAAATTGATTAAAAAAAATTATTTTGAACAATTTTTAAACTATAACATCTTGTAGTAGTAAGTTATTATAAAAAAAAAAAAAACTTATTAACCAAACACATATATTGACTATTTAACTAAGTTAAATAGTTAATAATAGTCAAACAAATTAAATTGACTAATAAGTTAACTATGTTATCAAATAGTGTCATAATAGGTTTATTTTTTTTATTTTTAAAATTTGTAGAATGGCAAGTCATGGGAGCGTTATGCCATGGAACCGTGTTCACCATTCATGGTGAACACGGTTCCAACGGTGTTAGTACACCGTTATCTTCTTCTTTTTTTTTTTTTTTTAATTAATTGCGTGACTTTTCTTCTTCATTTTCACATTTTGCGGTTTCACTTTAATTTGAGGTGAACAATGATTTCGGACATTCATAAATTATGAATTCATGCCTGCACATTCACTTTGGAATCATGCCTACACATTCCCGTCCGAAATCACGGACATTCATAAATTATGAATCCATGCCTGCACATTCACTTTGGAACCATGCCTACACATTCACTTTGGAACTATGAGATTATGAATTTTCTGTTATAAGATTATGAATTTTCAGTTATGAGATTATGAATTTTCTGTTATGCGATTATGAATTTTCTGTTATGCGATTATGAATTTTCTGTTGTGAGATTATGAATTTTATGAAAATTCATAATCTCATAACAGAAAATTCATAATTTGATCAACGCGCGCCGTTAACTCCACATTCGCGATTTTTTTTTTTTTTTACTTAAAAACGACATCGTTTGACCTTGTATTCACCATTCTCGGTGAACACGTTTCCAGGGCATAATTTGCCCAAGTCATGTGGTTGAGATTATATTATTTGATTTCTATGTTTGTTGCATCAAAAAAAGAATCTTTAATAAAAATTTAAAATGGATCAAATTCATACGATCTGTACTTTCTATCTCTATATGTAGCCTTAAACCTTATAATATAAAATGTCGGCATCATTCAATTATATCTTAATGCTGACAACAAACTTAATCTATCATTTATTTAATTACTTACACCGAATTGTATTCTTAAAATCTGTCTACAATGTCAACAGAATAGATACAACGTAATTATATATTCATGAAATTCAAAACAGTTGTTGAAATCCAAATTCTTATTTCATTATGAAAACGATAATTATTTACAGGAGAATTATATACACAAAACCTCAACCACATCTTCAAACCAAGATTGGTGGGTTCCCATCATTCTTCTGGTATGAAGAAGATGAAGATTTACAGAGATGATCAGAAGTATGGGTTAACGTGGGACCAATCCCGCACTCCGGCCGCCTCATATCCCATCCACTCTTCCCACTCTTCACCGTCGTCCTCGTAGTACTCCTCCGCCGCCGGCGTCGCCGTTTCTCCTTTCAAATAGCTCATAATATTCTGCACAAAACCCACAATCTCATAAGCACAAAAAATGGTATGTCTGGTCAACTTCCAATCAAACCCACTAATAAGAATCAATTAATATGATTTTTTAGCTTTAATTTCAAGAAATTTTAGTTGCGTAAAAGCTACGGAGAAGATTGTGACGTTCCATCTCCTGAAATAGGGATGGTGAAAAGGACTTCAACCAATGATGGATTTACAGATGTTTAGCTCTTTAAGCAACTCAAGAGTCGTCCAGATTTGAGATTTATCAAAAAGAAAAGGGAGAGATGAATCGATACATACATCATAAGCTTCATAAATTTGGTGAAATTGAACGCCGCAATTACTTCCTCTGCAAACGTCTGGATGATACTGAATCAAATCAAACACACCAAAAAAAAAAAAAAACAAATCAATAAACCATAAAAAAAAAAAAAAAAAAAAAAAGTTTGCAGGAAATTAAACTCATGAAAGTTGAAGTTTTTATAATTTTGCAATATACCTTAAGAGCAAGTTGTCTGAAAGCTTTCTTGACCTCAGATTCAGAAGCCCCAGGGCGAAGCCTGAGAGTGGTATAAGGATCCGCCATGGAAGAAGGCGGGGAAGAAACGCAGAAAACTCTGGACCCATTCTTCCGATTCCCTCCCATCTTCTTCCCCGGATTCCTCAACCGGAGCGAGGCCGACCCGGAAACGCCACCCATCAATCCAAAAGCAGCCGCCATTTTTTCAGAGCTTCAAGGAGAGATTTGATTTCCTCAAGTATCTCGGCAATGAACGAATGCCCACAAGATTTTCTTGATATCTATAGCCTTCAAGGAACGCGAAATCGTGCTGGGTTTATAGAGATTGAAAAATGTAAATTTAAAAATTAAAGTGTGGGTTCAAAAGAGAAGAGTAAAGGTATAAAGGAGAGGATATGAATGAAAAAGGATGGGGTTCTGCTTCGATATATATAGAGAGAAAGATTGAAGGTTTGAAAAAGGTTATTCGTATGAGCATCTGCAGAAGTGTCGTGGTGTGGTTGGATGGTTTTCTTCTTCTTTTTTAGCTTTTGGGTTGGGGTTAGGGTGGGGGCGGGGTGGGGGTGGGGGTGACGTGTCTGACTGTTCTTATCCAATTTATTTTGTACACCGGACAAGAGGGTGGGCCAGGATTGTGGTCTTATCCGACTTTTAGCCATTGATTTGGTCTTACATTATTTGCCTATTTGGTATCATTAAAAAAAATAAAAAATTACAATGTAAGGTTTGATTAGCTGGAAAATATTTTAAAGGAAATAAAATTCAAATTTTATAGAAAATAAATTATTAGGAAAATAGATTTTATTTTTTAATTTATTAAAAAAATTATTGAGAATATGAATTTTATTGTTTAATTAGTTTTAACATGATAACGAATCTATCTACATCTCTACATTTACATCTACATACATACAATTCTAATAAGAGTCAATAATGTTAGGCCCTTAACTGGAAAAAAAAATGTTCATACTATTGTTTCTTAAAATGAATGGTTCATATTATTTTGATTTTAGTATTTTTCTAATGATTTTCTTTATTTACTCTCTATTATATTATTTTATTCCCTTAAATAACTTAAATTCCGTTAGTATAAATTTTAGTAACAGAATATTCCGTTAACTATTTATTATTTTTAACTTACTCATTAATTTCTATAAGAAATGTCTTAGGTTCGAACATCATCCCAATTAGAGTTGACATAATTGTTAAATATATACTACGAATATGTCAAAAAGTATTACAAAAATATATTAATATAAAATTTAACATAAACTTTGGTCAAATAATTAGTCCGACTAAATACATAACATTCAAAATTAAGCATCAAAGATTATAAATCAAGAACTTTAAAAATCATGTGATTTTTATGCATTAAAAAAAATTAGGTTAAGTTTTTCTTTTTCGGTTTAATTAATTTCTTTTGATTATTTAGATCAGAACAAAACTTAATATTTCAATTATACTTTTGCATTATTGGTATGATTTGGGTCGTTATGGTTTTAATATTTTTTATATGTATTTTTATAATGGTACAATTGTACATTACTTTATAAATATTATACTATTTTTTTTATTGGACAAAATTATTCTTACATTATTGTCAGACTTGCGCGACCTAACTACAAAGTTGTTGATCATAAATACAAGGCAAATTATGATGTGCATCCGTATGCACCATGCATGGTGCATACGGATGCAAAAACGACGTCGTTTTAATAAAACGCGCGTCACCCCTTAAAAAAAAAAATCATGTGCGATTCCCAGCAACAACATATGAACTAAAATTTCATAATCGATGAACTATAATTCCATAATCTAATCTATGAACCATGGTTGCAGTAGGCGCTAGGCGCTAGTCGGGCGCCCGGACAGCGCCTAGGCGGAATCTAGGCGGCGTTAGGCGGGCGCCAAAAAAATAGTGGTAGACTTGCAGTTTGACAATTTTAATGAGGTTGTTTTCAACATTTAATCAAATAACACATCCAAATAAATGAATTAATGATAATTCATAAGTCATAACATCAAAACAATAGTTTTCAAATAAAAAAAAAACATTAAAACAATATTAAAAATATGGAATACTCAAATACTTCAATCATCCAAAGATTCAAAGTATCAAACTAGTCTACGAGTGTATATATGTCATATTATATATATGTATGCGCGTGCGCGCGCACACACACACACACTTCATGCATGGTGCATACGGATGCACAACATAATGATTGCCCCTCACAAATTATGCCATGCAACCGTGTGCACCATGCAGTTGCAAAAACGGCATCGTTTTTTATTAAAAACGATGCGTCCGACTTTAAAATAAAAAATCAATTTCAATTGTCGTTAACGACATTATGTTATGCATAATTTGAACTATATATCCAGAATGAATGAACTATATAGTTCAAATTATGCACAACATAATGCCGTTAACAGCAATCGAAACTGATTTTTTTAAGTCGACGTCGTTTTTGAAACTGTGTGCATCATGCATGGTGCACACGGTTGCACAGCATAACGCTTTATTACAAAGGACGTGGCCTATTCTACCCTTACTTACAAAATGGATCATAGTCTATGGTATAATGATTCTATTTTATCTGTAATCTTTTAAATAAGACAACTTTAATCAAATTTGATGAGCTTCCATGTAAGGCAATTATTATCTCAATAGCGGAATACAAATTAGTATAAACTTTATCCGTCCAATAGTTTCATTGTATATTATTCATTTATGGAACTAAAATTATTATTTTGGCATCCAGGCAAAAACTTAAAAGTGAAGACACCAACAATTGAAAGAATAACAAGTGTTTGGTTGGATGTAGTTGTAATTTTTTATAACATCATTTCTTGATATTTTAAATTACGATGTTTGGTTGGATCGTTAGAGGGGATTGTAATAATTCCAATAAATTGTGATTTCTTTTATTTGAGGAATTGCAATTCATACATTTTCTCATGGGAATTCTAATTTGGTGTCATTTTGGAAAGGGAAAAACATAATGACAAAATTACCCATGATTGTTGTTGTTATTGTTGTTGTTGTTGTTATTATTATTATTGTTATTGTTGTTGTTGTTATTGTTATTGCTATTGTTACTGTTACTGTTACTGTTACTATTACTATTACTATTAGTATTATTATTACTATTACTACAACATAAGGCATTTTAGTGTTTACATCACTTTTTTCATTCTCATTCCAAATAATTATATTCTTCCTTATCAAACCATGTAAATTGAATTCATACTTTATTGCACCTTATTTTTTTTCCCACCAAATTAGAATTTATTTATTTCCTAATTCCGTCCTCCCAATTCCCAAACTAACGCCCAGTAAGCTCATTATATTATAAACTAGTTTTTTACGCGCATTGCGCGATTGAGATAATGCCCAATGTTTTTTTAAATAAGTATTTTAAAGTATATCAAGACAAGATTATATTGAAATTGTTCATGCATAGATAATTGAATGTTGAATTTACGTATTTAAATTGGTAATTCTAAGTTTACAAATGCTAGATAATATAGTCAAGATTGATTATAATTGTCAATAAAATAATTGTATGAGTATGGTTGAAACCAAATACGGGACATAAGGGAGAGCAAGTAAAAATTAAAGCATAAAATATTAAATATATACTAATATTGTTTGAGGAGATTCCGGCAGTGAGCTTTGTAGTTAGAGTTCTATTAAGACGTACTTTAATATTAGAATTGAATTAATGTTGTAGTTATAATTCTATAATTAGACTTTAATATTATAATTAGACTAATGGTAAATTAACGGTACTTAATGAAAAAGTTAACGGATCGAATAATCATATAATTAAGGATAAATTATGAAATCTCAAGGAAAAATTAAAATCTGAACTATTCATTTGATTTAATAATTTGACGGTCATTTTTTCTACCCAATGTTTATAATTAAATAAACATTTGAAAGTATATCAATGCAAGATTATATATGAGAAGTTCAACATAAGTAATTTAATGTCTAATTTGTTTATTTAAATATGTAATTCATAGTATATGAATACAATGTAATATAGGAGATTCATTATAATTGTTACTAAACTTTTTTTAAATAGTAACCAAGTATTTTTGTTGCAAAGGGTTCTAATATTTTAATGAATGCACATATATACAAGATCAAGGAATGAATCAACGGTATCAATCCTTTAGGTGTTTTGCTCAGTGTTCATTTAGTTCAACCATTATTGTTGAATACATTATTATGGATAAAGAAATACCTAATTTAAGGAATTTAGATGTAGTAAAATTTAAATTTTTTATAATTATAATGTAACCCAAAGATATCGGACGATTGATAAATATGATGTAACCCAAAGATCAAAATGCTAAAGAAAGTGTTTTGGTTATTCAACAGTTTGAAGCAACAATTTGTTCCAAACCACTGAAAATACAAACGTTGAAATTTACAATATTTTCAATTAGCGTCTTTGAGAATGATTTTTTCAAAACACATATATATATTTTTTAAAATTATTATTAAAACAATTATTATTATTATTATTATTATTATTATTATTATTATTATTATTATTATTATTATGCCCTTATGTCATTTTAAATGTTAATTTAAACAATTAATTTTTTTAAATATCTTTTCACCAACCGTTGATATAATTCGCCGGTCAAATCCGCTAATATAATCTGCTAACGCTAACCGCTAACTGCTGATTGTCAAACAATGACATTGCGAGGTAGTTTCTCACTTCAATTTGTTGTGTGATTTGAATACTCTCTTTGTCAACAAATTTCTCAAGTAGTTAATATAATTGACTTTATTAATTTAATTTTTTAAAATTTTTTCATGGTATTAATAAAATACTTGGTAAATAAATATGTAGCATTATTTTGTATTATAACTTTTATATTTAATTAAAAAATAATGCACAAAAAAAATGATAATAGACAATATAGTGAATATAATCAATTGATGAATTTGAATGTAAAGAATTTTTACATTGGAGAGAAATAAAGACAATATAACTAATAAAATGATTTCTCTTAATTAATTTATTGATAATGAATAATCTTTTTTAATAAAGACATTGTAGGGACAATGTAGCGAATATAATTCATTGATGAATTTGAATTTTGAATATAAAGAATTTTTATATTGGAGAAAAATAAAGACAATATAATTAATGAAATTATTTATCTTATTTAATTTATTGATAATGAATAATTTTTTTTTTGAATAAAGACATTGTAAACACATAATTCTAAATTAAAGAAATGTATATGTATTATTTTTTGTTGTAGCTACTAAATTATTATTTAATTTAATAAGAGTAAAATAGAGTACTAATTATGCCAACTTTGATTGGGATGTGGTTCGAACCTAAGACCTTTCTTATCTTATTGAAATCAATGTGTAAGTTAACGGTGAACTAACAGAAATTAACAGAAAAGATAATATTTAACAAAAATGTTAACGGATAATCATATTCATTAAGGATAAATTAGA